CCACCTGCCAGTCCCCGTTAGGACCTGGAAACTTCAAGGCAGCCCGGAGATCGTCGAGGCGGCCAACCTGTTGCTCAGAATGAGAAACTGATGCCCAAGTAGGGCGGAGGCGAGCCCAGGCCAACAGCTAAGCGGCAGAAGAGGCGTGAGAGTGAGAACTTGGGGGCCCCGGCTGTTTCCCGTTTACCTTTGACCTCGTCTACCATGGAGCATCCTCCACACTGCTCTAGCGCCGGAAGAAAATCTGCCTTTTAACTATATTAAAATCCCTCCCTATTAGAAAACAGCCATGCAGCCTGGGAAGCTACACATAGATCTGGTTTTCTGGCCTGGAGTTCACAAGGAGGGGCTGTGGACTGCTGGACTGCTGTGGGAGCATCGGCTTCCTGCTGCACTCCCCCTCCCCTTCCCCACGCTCCGATTCCACAAGCCTGGTGGGAGCTAGGACAGCCGTTTTACCAATAAGAAAAGGAAGGCTCTTGAGGCAGAGGCAGGCCTTGAACCCAGGACTCCACCAGGCAGACTGGCCCCAAGGTCCATTCTCACCTGGGAGCCCTCACCCTTGCTTAATCCTAATAGTGGCAGGGGCTCTGGCCTCTTGTTCCAGCCTTGTGGCCCATTTGTTCTGTAGCTCTGGTCAAATCCCTCCACCTCTCTGGGTTAGACAGGCGCACCTGCCTCTAGTGGACATTGATTCTATTAACTGACACCTCCAAGAAGTCTTCCATGACTAACCCAGCACCACAATGAATGAGCTCTTTCCCTTGCATGGCATGACTTACACTATCACATGGTTAACAACCTTGGAGCTCCAAGGTGAGAATGGGCTGTGTGAGGGCCAGTCCAGCAGGTGGAGTCCTGGATTCAAGGCCTGCCTCTGCCTCTAAGGTCTTCCTTTTCTTAGATAAATTCCCTGTAATAATAATAGGTCCTCAAAAGGAGCTGTTTTCCAGGGTTAACAAGGGTGCTGTCCAGAGATATCGCTGTGGGTCTCATAGGACATGTTACCCACTTACCTATGGGTACCCATTTTGTACCCACACACCCACTCACTAACCTATTTATCTATCATCCATTGTTCATTCATTCATTCATCAAACACATTCAGCACATACTTTGCGTAGTGAGTCAAGGAATAGATCAGTTCTTCCCCAACCCGGAGGAGTTCCGTGGCTGGTGAGGGGACAACAGTGACAATACGATGTGGTAAGTATTGTAACTGGGATGTCCAGTGGTCAGTGGGAGCCAGATAGAAGACCATGTGAACCAGGGACAAGAAGCGCAGGAAGCTTCCCTGGAGGAGGTGCCACTGGAACTGGCCTTGAAGAATGAGCAGGGTTTCACCAAGCACTGAGATAGGAGAAATAACCCTGTGACAGAGGGCACAGGCAGCAGGAGGCTGGGTTATCCTTGGCTAACCCGAGGAGCTAGACCTGAAAACTTAAAAATTACGGTGGGGTAAGGATGTGCTCCTGGAACGCGGGTTACTATTGTGTCCCCACTCCCGCACCCCAACTAGAATCGAACTGTGTGCATAGTAGCAAATGCTTGTTAGATGTTAAAATAAGAAGAGCCTCATCTATTAAGCACTTACTGTCCGCCAAGCACCACACCAAGCACTTAATGGGGCACTTCCTCTCCACAGCAACCCTATGAGGTTATCCCCTGAGGAAACCCAGCATTAGAAGGGTGAGAGCACTTGCCCAGGTGACGTGGGACTCAGATCAGGAGGTCTCATCTGACTCTGGGGCTTGTACTCATAACTTATTGGGTGGCTCCAGGTGCCCGCTTGAAGTTGGCAGGTAATTCTGTTTGACTCGGCAAACACTTCTAGATCACCATCTGGTCCCTATGGGGAGCCAGGAATGGAGCAGGCTTGCCCGCAGGAAGCTCCCAGTTGGCCCAACAGGGGAGAGTAAGCTAGGATGGGGAAGGAGGGGAGGAAAGTCCCACTGGTGGGAAGAGGCACAGAGCAGGCCTTTGAAAAAATGGCAATTGCAAAAAGCAGAGGTAGGGAAGGGAGCCATTTCAGGTGGGAGGGGGAGGGGAGCATGAACCCCACAGACCTCTCACACATGCAGGTCTTCGGAATCTTTGTCCAGGCCAGAGGGCCACAGATCCCTCTGGAAGACAAGTTCCACAAAGGTAGCTCTTAGAACAAGGCCCAGCACGTAATAGGTGCTCAGTTAATACAGCGGTGCCTCGGTTTCGAACGTCTCCGTTGACGATCATTTCAGTTACAAACGCCGTAAACCCGGAAGGAAATGCTTCGGTTTTCCAACACACCTCGGAAGTGGAACATGCCTCACGGCTTCCGCTCAGGGCAAGATCCCGAGGCCCAGCTGTCGGCTGTTGATCCCTCGGTTTTGAACGTTTCAGAACTTGGTCTTCTGGAACGGATCATGTTCGAAAACCGAAGGACCACTGTATTCACTCTGTAAGTGAATTCTCTTCCCCGGTCTCCAAGCTGCTTGCGTTAAGGTCCCATTTGAGGGACTGGAAAAGCAGGTCACAAGCCTAGAAAGAAGGAGGGCATCATGGTTTGAAGAATCCCTGATGCGGGACTCTGAGGACCAGAGGGGCCCTCTTTACAGCTCATCCTCTAGCTTGTTACTTGACTTTGGGCAAGTTATCTCACCTCCTGAGCCTCAGACACCTCAGCTGATACACAACACAGGGTACAAGGAGATGACCCCTGGGGAGCCTTGTAATCTTGAAACTGACAGTATTAATACTTTTTCCCTAATTCCTTCACATACAGAAACTCACCCAAGAATATGTAAAGCAACTGGCAACCAAGAGGCAGCAGCAAGTTGGCAACAGAAACCAGATAGAAGATGCTGCTGCACAGCTCAAGGCAAGTGGGCGTTTCTTCCTTCTAGTTGAGATGCCCGCACTTCTCCTCGGACACGAGATTCTCCCCACTGTGGAGCCAGGGCAAAGAAAACCAACCTCAAAGGGGATCGGGTTTGGTAGGGTCTGGGGCTTCCATAATTTAGGGCAGCGATCTTCAAGCGGCATGCGGCAAGAATTTGTAAAACATGCAATAGCTGACTATTTAGTCGGGGGCACTGGCCTCTTTTCCCTTAGATTGTCAAATAAAAAAATGACAACAGCCAACACAGCAATAGCCGTCAGGTGTGAATGAATAAAAATTACACCTATTTTTTTTTTTGGTCAGATTGACAAAAAATATATTTTGCTGTGCTGTAGAATTTTAGAAATTATGTATGCCATGAGATGAAAAGGTTGAAAATCGCTGATTTGGGGGGCCCTTTTTGAGCAAAAGAACACAAAATTCAGTGCAAGATCATGAAGGGGTCTTGCTAGTGAGGGGCTTGAGGCTGTTGTTCCATTCGCTTTGTGGTGAGTCTGCCCTTGCCCAGCACCCAGCTTTGGCCTGTAACACCTCATAAAACGGAGGAGTAGCCTTTCTTCACCATTGCCAAGGCCATTCTCTTGAAGGGACTAGTCCTCCATCCCCTAAATGCCTTAAACAAAGCAATATACAGCTTAAGGAACACACAGATAGCTCTATAGGTTTCACTGCCATGGTGAAAGGAAAAGTAAGGTATAAATATTTTCCACAAATATTTACTTTCTTCAGGTTTCTCCTTTCCTAATGATGTTTATTTAAATGGATTCTTTTGTGGGTTTTAAATGGGAAGTTGAGGCTGCTGTTATCATGAGCTGCCATTTTGACTATGAAAAAGTTGTTCTGTCTCTAGGGGCCTTTTATGTGAATTTGGCCAGTCCCTGACCCTCTCAGCCTCCTGAAAGTGAGGGCTGGGGTGGGATGCCCTTCCTAGGGCCTGCTCCACTGAGAGCTCTGAGCCGCTGACTGACACAAGTTAGGCAGGGAGAATGGCTCTGACTGCGTCAGTAGCCCACAGTGGAGGTTCACTGTTGGCAAATCTCTGAGCAGATATAGTGTGGGGCCCCCAAGACAGAGTTAGAATGCACATGGACAGCCTAGGGGGGCCGGTTTTAGCTTAATCTAAGAAGTGGAAATGCCGAGGCCAACGCCAAGCCACAGAATTAGCTTTGTGTTTACCCAACATTCATTATCTGAAAGAGGACTACAGGACCCAGTTTGCTGAGGAAAGTTCTGGCCCTGGCCTTGGCTTAATTATTAATAGTGTCCCTCACATCTTCAAGAGAAGGACTCCAATCCCAGGCGGATAAAGCAGTTCAACAGGATTTGGAAACTGAAAGTTGTCGCACCTGACGGGATGGGGGAGGTGCTCTGAGCTTTTTAGCCAGACCACGGTTGGGGCACAGGTTCACTGACTGCAAGTCTCTGAGCAGATATAGCATGGAGTTCTCAAAACAAGAGTTAGGATCCACGTGGACAGACTCAGGAGGCAGGTTTCATCTTAATCTAAGAAGTGGTTTTTTTCTTTCAACCCTCTCCCCAACTTTCAAACTTTTACTTTGAAATAATTACAGATTCACCAGAAGTTGCCAAGATGGTAAGTTTTGTGTGCCTTTCACCTAGTTTGCCCCAAGGATTATATCTTACCTAACTATAGTACAATTGCAAAACCAGAAAATTGGCAGTGTGTATATATATATGTTCTATATCAGCTTATCACGTGTGTAGTTTGAGTAACCGCTGCTGTAATCAGAATACAAAACTGTTCCATCACCACCAAGATCTACCTCATGCCTCACCTTTATAGTCGCCCCTCCACCCCCAGCAATCCTTATCTCCCAGCAGTCACTAATTTATTCTCCCTCTCTATAATTACAGCACTTGAGAATTCATGAACATGGTATATCTCATTTATTTAGATCTTTGTTTTCTTTCATCAGCATTTTGTAGTTTCCAGCGTACAAATCCTGAATACGTTTTATTGGACTTACACCTAAGTGGCCCTCAGAAGGTATTAAGAAAAATTAGTGGTCAGCATTTTAAAGCTGAGAGGTATTTGTATAAAAAGTTAGATGTGGCCCTTGCCAGTTTGGCTCAGTAGATAGAGCGTTGGCCCACAGACTGAAAGGTCCCTGGTTCGATTCCAGTCAAGGGCACCCAAATTAAAAAATGTTAGTTGTGGAAAAGTAGGAAGTGCCTGCATTCCCACATTGGAGCTGTCAGAGCTGAGCAATGGACACGCTCATGAGAAGGGCATGTGTTGCCCAGATCTCCCGGCCCCTGCTTGCCCACTCTTCTCACTATGTCTTACCAGGCTGTCTCCCTTGGGCATTTATATTTCAGTTCCTGGTCAAGCAGGAACTGAAATATAAAAATTCAGGTATAATTCTGCCACTCCAGGTCAACCACTAGTCACATTCTGAGATTTTTTTCTTCTGTACACGAATGTTCTTTTTTTTTTCCCTTTTTAAAAAAATTTATCTTTATTGTTGAGAGTATTACAGATGTCTCCCCTTTTTCCCCCATTGCCCCCCTCCACCCAGTTCCCACCCTGTCCCAGGCCTTCAGTACACTGTTGTTGCCTGTGTCCGTGGGCTATCATGAAAATTCTTTTTTTTTTTTTTTAATATATATCTTTATTGATTTCAGAGAGAGGAAAGGAGAAGGAGAGAGAGAGATAAAAACATCAATGATAAGTCATTGATCGGCTGCCTCCTGCATGCCCCCGAGTGGGGATCGAGCCCACAATCCAGGCATGTGCCCTGACTAGGAATTGAACCCTCACCTGGATCCTAGGTCAACACTCAACCGCTGAGCCATGCCCGGCCGGGCATGAATATTCTTTTATATAGTATCATATCCCCAGTATGGAGGTGAGACATGATGGTTCGTTTATGTGTGTGACCTGACGTTTGCATCACCACCGCGCCTTCAGTAGGTATTTTTCATGGTGCCTCATGCGCCCTGGGTTGTGCCTTTCAGAGCACTGTGGCATGAGCATCTGCAGGGGACTCTGAGTTTCAGCAGTTCCAGACCAGGTGTCATGTGAATTTTTTAGTTTCGAGGTTCCATGAGTTCAGATTCCAAGCCAGTTGTTGGGTTTATTTGTTTGTTTTGCTAGTGATTTTCTTTTCTCCCATGACCCTGGATGGATGACAAGTTTCCTTGCAGCTTCTTCAGGCCAGTGGGTAGAGTTTTCCTGGTGCCTAGTTCGTGCATGGAGCAGCTCTCTGTGACTCTGGCTTGGTGCAGGTGGCCCCCTTCCCATTCTCAGCTGGAATGGGGCCAGGTGCCCTGAGCACCCTCCTGAGCACCCAGTGGGGTGTGCTCTCAGATACCTGCATGCCCATCCATCCCCAGGTGTCTGCTTATCTTCTGCCCAGGGCTCTGACATCAAGTTCCCTCTTTGTTTTGGGCACCTGAGGATTTCCTTTCTTGTTGTTTGTTTGATTCTGGGGTTTTGGGGGTTTTTTGGGGGGGGGCTCATTAAGGCATTTTCCTAATGTTGAACATTTAGATCATTTCCTGCTTTTCACTAATGTAAAATAACACTGCAGTGAACATTTCTGGCACCTCGATTTACTTCCTTCAGGACACATGTCCAGAAGTGATGAATCTGGTCAACAGGCACAACATCTGTGAAGATTCTTGTGAGTTCTGCCCAACTGAGGCTGGCAGTCTGGGGCAGCACGGTCTGGGGCAACCATGTTGCTCCATACTTGTTGACACAGGCCAGTACCAAGGCAAAGACCACTTGTAGGCAAATTAATCCATAAAGCAGTTTTGTAAACAAATTAAAATCAATAAAGTTCATACATGGTCCAAAGTCTGCTGTTCAGAAGCCAATGACCAGGCCTAACTAACTACTCCTTTTCACAGAGCCGTCAAGAAAGACTTGGTCCTTATTAATCCCCAACCAACACCCATTAAAGGATTTTCTCTGACATCCTTGTTAATAGGCTGTTTGTCCTCCTCATGGCTCCTCAGGGGGCTCATACATGCAGGTGTAGGGGGAATTCAATACTTGCCTGCTACCCTAACTGGTTACTCAAACTGGGATAAGATGATGGTATGCAGTGATTGTGTTCTTCTTTCTGAAACTCCTGAATATTCTACAGTGAGCTTTTGATACTTTCATAAATGAAGAAAAAGTATATATATTTAAATTTGGTTAATGTCTATTGAATCCAGACCTAGGTAGGGATTCAGAATGTGCATACAGTGTCAGGCTGAAAGGCCCTTGGAGATGGAGTCACCCAGGAAAAGGAAATAACTTGTCATTGGTCATATAGGAAGGTAGAGGTGGACCTGGGGCCATGGCTGTATCCATCAAGTTCCACCCAGAAAGACACAAGTCCACTTTGAGGGTTTGGCAAGGAAGAGGCAGAGCAGCCAACCAGGGCGTGGTGAGGCAACTGGCCCAGCAGGAAGCACCTTCACCCCTGGGCTGCACCGCCAAAGGGAGGAGGCGTTATTAGCATAATGCAGAGTCCAGGGCCACCTAGTCAGGAGCTGGAACCAGAGCAGGCCCTGTCCTGTGGGAGGAGAAGGGTGGAGGAGACTCAGGGAGGCAGGGATACCCTGGCTGTTCCCCTCACCCTTCGACTTCCCTCTAGTTCCTACTCCCGTTAACCAAACTGAGCCTGAAAGGGGATCTTGGCCTGCAGGAGTCAGCCCTGCTGCTCTCGTGAACAGAGGGGGAAGGGAGGAGGCCAGGAAACAGACGGGAGGCACACAGGCCTAGATGGGCACCCTGGGAAGTTTGTAAGCATCCTTGGTTCCTGACTTTGTGCATTTCCCTGTGACCCACCAGAGCTGTAAGGACTGGACCACAGCATGGGGTTGGGGACAGAAGGTGACATGAACTAGCCTTTGCCAGTCTGAGACTAGGAAGATAAGGACTAGGTCAGGCCTGCTGTTGACCCTGGCGATGCCACTGGTCTCCACCACCTTTCTGGACATGCCATTCCCCTGCCTCCTCCTGCCAGCCACTGCTACATATCAGAGTGCACAGATGTCATGGCTAATGTGGCCTGGGCAGGGCTGGCAAGCACACCTCCTTCCCTGGTGGGAGGCCCCTGAGAGACCTGAGTCCATAGCAGGATGTCCAAAGTCATACTGAGCTTTCAGCAAAACAGTTTTTTCCATTTTCCTCACAAGTTCCTCCTTCCTCGGGACCGGAGGGTGCCCCGGGGGCCTGGGCAGGGATGGATTCGCATGGCAGCCGGGGACTCCCTGTGCAAAATCCTTCACTTCCATGTCCAGGGCTGCTTCGCTGCTCAAATTCTTTCTCTCCCACAGGCCTTAGATCTTCCTCAGCTAGACTCTGTCAGGTCCTTACCCTGGCCCCATCCGGCCGTGTCCACACTTCAGTCCAGTTCAGTCTGGGATCCAGTTTCACTTTGAACCAATGCAGCCTAGAGTAGACAGCATACTTCCTTGTCTCATTGCCAGAGTTGTTAAATTTTTTAACCATATTGCATAATCAGCCTCATATGCTTGCGCCTGAAGTTTTCTTGTGGATATTTTCAGTTATAATAATGTGTAGTGTCATTAAGATTATTTTGTATATTCTTCTTTACAGGGTGGATCTGTAGAAACTTGGAACATAGCTTGGTTGGGAGAAGATATAGATATTTGATCTCTTGGTTTCTGTAGAAAGGTCCTCCATTTGTTTACATACCTTGCCTTGAAAATGTGTTTCTAAATTAAGGGTTTGGAACACATTTTCTTGCCTTCATTTGGTCATTCAACAAAGATATTTGTGCCCAGGCTCAGTGACCCATAGAAACCATGTTGTAGATGTAGACTAATTCCTAAGCTAGCCCAAAGACAATTTAACCTATATGGCATGTGATTTCAGAGAGAGGAAAGGAGAGAGAGAGATAGAAACATCAATGATGAGAGAGTCATTGATGGAGCCCACAACCGGGGCATGTGCCCTGACCGGGAATTGAACCCCGATCACCTGGATCCCAGGTCGATGCTCAACCGCTGCGCCACGCCAGGCCCGGCTAGGTTTTATTTTTAGATATATTGCTGTTTTGTCCACTATTTTCAAAGGACCTTTATTTCTCCATGCATGTTCCAATTGGTTATGGCTGGTCCTCAGGAGAGCTTGAGTTTTGATAAGTTGATCTTGTCCCTGACTGGCCACCTTGCTTTTAGATGTCGTAATAGGTTTTTCATGTTAATTAGTCTGGATTTCCTAGTTGGCACTCATATCCTCCGTAACTGGATTTCTTTTTAGGCTCATGCAGAGTCAAGTAAAAACTGGCTGACGGAGAAATTCACTGAACTCAGATTACTACTTGATGAAGAGGAAGTGCTGGCCAAGAAAGTCATTGATAAAAATACCCAGTTTACACTTCAGGCATACAGGGAGCAAATCATATCTTGTGAGGACCAAATTGACGTCTTGAACAGTCTCTCCGACAGGATCTGCAGTATCAGCCAGGAGCCCAATCCTGTCCAGCTACTGCAGGTAATGCTGGGTTTCTGCCTCGCAGCTGCGACCTGCCACACACCCCCCCACATTTCATCTTGGTTACTGTGGCATTGAGCACAGTATTTACACACCGAGTTAATACACAGAGTTGCCTGTTAGCAGGTAGACCTTCTTGTCCTTGTGCAAGTGGTCAGAAAATATACATAGTTAGGAAGATAATTTACATCTTGGACTAATGAAATAACGTTTACAGCCACCATTTCTGAGGGCCTTACATACCTGGCCATAGAGTTCAGACTTGGTGCTATGAAGAAATGGAGGACAGGGGAGTGTTTTGAACCAAGGAATGGCACGGTCAGGTTAATGTTATGAAAAGGTCACCTTGGCGATGGCCGGAGAATGGACTAGGCAGGTCAGACTGGAGGCTAACAGGGAAATTAGGAGGCAGCAGTGCCCAGGAGAAAGGTGGTGAGCTGGGCCAGTGAGGGGCCTGGAGGTGAAGCAACGAAGGCAGGTCTGAGAGGTACAACAGGATTGGTGATTGAAAGTGGTGGAATCCAAGATGATTCCCAGCTTCTGTCTTGAGAGATGCATGGCTAGGGGGTTGCTCTCTAAGTCTGCAAAGGCACGAAGCAGATGTGCCCAGTTTCATCCATTTATTTCAACCTAAATGTTTATTGAGTGCCTACTATGTGTCAGACTCTGTGCTAGATGCTGGAGTTGGGGGTTACCAAGTGGTGAGATTTGTCCTTCGTCGCCCTCCCCAGTCCCATCCTACCCATCTGTCCTCTGGGCCACCATCCTGCCACCCCAGGGCTGCTCCCTGCCCTCCCTGACTCTCTGGCCAGGTCCACTGCAGCTCTGAGTGGGACCTTAGCCCTGGTTCCCCACAGTTTATCTTCTTCCCCACAAAATGAGGATGAACTCCAGACCCACAGCTTCCTAGGCTGGATGGGGCTTGGGGACCATCTCACAGCCCTTTCCCAGGGTCCAGCATGCTGCCTTGTGGGCCTACCTCTGCCCAACAGCTGAGTGTGGGCCATCCTCCTGAGGCATCCATCTGCCCATCCTGCTTGGGCATCACTTCCTACCGCCAGGGCCTGCTTGCCAGCACAGCCCTTCAGAAAGTACAGAAAGGGTTCTTAGCTATAACTGTTTGAAGCAAGAAAGGAGTTTCTGAAAGAGTAGTAGGCAGCTCACAGGATCTCCAGGAGGGCCAGAAAGTCAGGGTGAAGACCAGGCAACACGAGGGAAGTCCGGGCCACAGCACAGGTGTGCTCCAGGGCAGACCCCACTGCTTCTCTGCTGAGCAAGATATCACAGCTCACACCTCTGGCCCAGGCACTGGCCCTTGGAGCCTCCACCACCACTGTTCCCTACATGCTGCTTCACCTCTCATTTCCACATGCAAGCCTTGGATTGGAGATGCCTCATCACGTGTCTGCCCCACAGGTACAAAGGAGGCTGGGAGAGTGCATTTTCTAGCTTCTACCTAGCAAAGCCACACTTAACACGGAAGGGTATTTAAAAGGTGCTGTCCAGGCAGAAACAGGAAAGGTCCCCACTGTGGTGGCCACACCACCTCTGGCAGCATTCCAGTTGAACTTCTAGGGGCTCCTTCCCCAGGAAAACTGGCCCCTCACTCTTTTTGTCCCCCTGTGCCTCAAGCAGACCCCTGTCACATTGTCTGTAAAGCTTCAGAGCCTCTTTGGATGTGGTGAGCAACTTAAAAGTGGGCAGTCAGCCTGTCTCCTGTTTCTGCCTCTAATGCTAACGCCCGGCATAGAGAAACCTCTGAGCATCGGAGGCAGGAAGGGAAGAGGGGAGTGCTAAAATGGGACCTCCACAGTCTTCCAACCCAGGGCCTGCTGTGTGGTGGTTCCTGGGGGCACGGCCCTGGGCTGACCCAAGGTACCAGGGCAGGGTGGGGTGGGGCCTGCCCTTGATGGCCAGGGTTTGTTCCTGGTGCCACTGTAGAGCAGCCCTGACCCTTGTGTCCCATGCAGGAGTTCATGGCCACTGAGCAGGAGCTGAAGCATCAGTTGAACTCAGGGGAGCTGTGCCACCCTGTGCCTCAATCTTTTGAGCCCATCAAGACCTTCTTCAAGGGCCTCCTGGAAGCCATGCAGAACATGACACAGACGCCACTAGAGGTTCGCTTGAAGGAAAGTAAGTCACCATGTGACCAACTTTGTGTCCTTTACTCCCTTAGTGTCCTTTAGCCCAGAGACAAAGGGGAATACCGCCATCGTGAATCATGTCTCTCCCACACAGTGGCCCTTGGTTGGGTGGTCAAGGGATCCTGGGCCTGCGCCCAGCCCACCCTTCTGACTTCACTTCTTTCCCCTTCTGAGACCTTGTTCTCCTCTTGAAGCCACACTGCTCTGCTCCTGGGATTCTGTCACACCTCTACTGCATCTGCTCCGGGGCCCCAGCTGGAATGGCCAACTCCTTCTCTTCCTCTGCCTGGTCAAGTCCCACCATCCCTGCAGGGTCAGTACAGCTGTGCTCACCTGGGAAGCCTTTCCATGCCACCTTGGGCTCACTCTCTCCCTTGGACATCTACCCCTCTGTCCTTCCTCCCCAGGGCCTGCCCCATCTCCTGCCTGAGTGTGTTCTTGACCTGGATGCATGAATCCTTTCCTGCCTCTCATAAATGCGTGGAGGGCAAGAACCATTTTGGGTCCAGCTCTGAGGTTCCTGCAGGGCCTGACACAAAACAGGTGCTCAGAAATATCTGTTCATTCGTTCGTTCATTCGTTCATTCATTCATTCATTCATTCATTCATTCATCTCTGCTATTATGATTCCTTCAGAACATTTATGGAGCCCTTATTATGTGCCAGGCACAGCTCTTGCCTTTGTGGGACCCAGTCCTTCTGGGGGAAGACAGACAACAAATGAACATACGTCAGTGATAAGTGCTCTGAAGAAAAAGAAAGCAGATTAAGTGGAATAAAGGTGACCAGGAGGAGGAGGAGATATTTTATGTGAGGAAGTGGGGGAGGCCTCTCTGAGAAGGGGTTATGCATACTGACCTGAAGGAAGTCTTCTGTAAGCTCTGCAGAGCTGAAGGGCCGGGAGCAGAGGGGCCACAGCACGACTCTGGAGCTAGACTTACTGGGTTCCTGCCCCAGGTCCACCACTTCCCAACCCGGCCACCCTGGGTAAAGCACCTAACTTTTCTCTGCCTGTTTCCACATCCATAACACAGAGATGGTAACACAGTTCCCCCCTCAGAGGGTTGTTGAAAGGTTTAAATGAGTTGTTATTCGCAAAGTGCTTAGAATGGGGCGCAGGCATAATAGGCACCATGTAAGAGTTAGCTGCTGCTGTCGCTGTTTTTACATCTGAGGGAAACATCTTCTAGGCAGAAGGAACAGCATGTGCCAGGGGCCCAGAGAGAGGGGAGAACTTGATGAGATTTGGGCACAGAGAGGGGCACAGTGGTGGGAGATGAGGTGGAGGAACTTGGAAGCTACCTTGTCAAATGGGGCTGGTAGGGCTGTGCCAGCTCTGAAGATCCGGAGATAGGGAGAAGGAAAGAGGTGGGAGGAAGCAAGGCAGAAACGCTGCAAGCACCTGCCGAGCACCTCTGGGAAATGGGGAGAGGTGAGGCCAGGCCCTGGCTGCAAAGCAGGCCAACTTCAACAGGTGAGTCACGGAGGAAGACAGCCAGGGCCAGCGGAGCTCAGATGGAGAGAGGGACTGTGATGGGAAACTGGGAAGCCGTCCTGGAGGACCTGGCACTTGAGTTGGGCCTTAATCAACTCTCCCACTCTCAAAATCTTAATCACTAAGATTTTGAGAGTGGGAAAGAACCAGGGAAGGAATTTCAAACTGAGACAGGAGAGCACAGTTCGGGACACCGTGATGCATGCAGCAGGGCTGAGCAGTGGATTTTCCTGAGCCAGTTCATCAAAGTAGATTTTTTAAAAATCCTCACCTAAGAATATGTTTATGGGGGTTTTGGGGGGATTTTTAGAGAAAAAGAGAAACATCAATGTGAGAGAGAAATATCGATTGGTTGCCTCCTGTACGTGCCCAGACCAGGGATCAAACCCGCAACCTGGGTATGTGCCCTGACTGTGAATCGAATCTGGGACCTTTCTGGTGTATGAGACGACACTCCAACCAACTGAGCCACCTGCCCAGGGCTGAAAGCAGATTTTTAATGTCGGTGGTGTTCTTTTTGTCCATAACATCCACTGGAATTTTGAACACATAGTTCAACTGAAAAATTCTTCTTGAAATGTAATTACTTAATAAGAAAACCACATGCCAGAATGGTAGCAGTAAATATATCTCAATTAAAAAAAATAGTTAAATATGAAAGAAAGAAAAAAACCTTAGCAGTCGGCCCCAGGAAGCTTTGGGCTTGTGAGTATCCGGTGAGTGGGCAGTGAAGTCACCACCACCACCCCTGGCAAGAAGATACGCAGATGGTCCCATAATGCATTCACTCCCATTTACATTCTCAGTGCTCCGTCCCAAAGAACTGGAGGTGCCTGTTGAGTGCATGGTAACAGCTAGCACTTGCTCTGTGCCAGGCTTTGTTCTAAGCCCTTTACACAGTTTCACCCAGCAACTACCCTGTATGGTAGGTGCCTTCGTGATCCCCATTTTAAAGATGAGGAAACTGAAGCTCAGAGCTGGGAGGCATAGAGACTCTGGTCCCAGAGTCTGTTCTGTGATTCTCTGCAGTCTGCTCCCTCCCAGGCTGTCACCCCTCAGCCACCGCCAGATGAGGCCATCATTTTTACTATCACAGGTAATACTGAGAGGTGCGGACTCCCAGGAAGGACCGGAAGGAATGGGGCCTTGCAGCACCACTGCCCTTCCAAGGCCCGGCCCCAGCTCTCTCTGTGTTCACAGACATTACAGGCTCAATAGGCCAAAATGGAATCCAGCAGCACCGCCACCCCTGTCAGCTGCTTCTGGACGCCAATCTGCTCTTAACAGTAAAGTTTATCCCTGGCATTTCTGCCACTGCAGTGCTTACTGAGCCCAGTCCCTTTTCCGTCCCTGTTCAGGCCTCAGTCTCCCAACAGGGCCTCTGCTTCCACTCTCGCCCTGTCCGTCCATTCCTCACCTGAGAGAGCTTTGGAAATTCTGCTCATGTCTCTCCTCACTCAGACACCTTTCATGGCGCCTCACTGTTGACATGCCGTTAATGTCCTTGCTCTCGCTATACCCATTTACTGGGAAAGCTCCCCATCCTGTTTCTGGGTGTCCAAATCTTCCCGCTCCTTTAGTTTCAGCTGAGGTGCTTCTTCCTCCATGAAGCCTTCCCAGACCCCTCCAAGCCCCAGAGCCCTTTCCCCTCTCTCCTCTGTGACCTGGAGCACTCTCTGCCCTGACTGGTAGCTCCAGTGAGCCCCTTTCTCACCCCATTTGGCTGACTGAGCTGTTGAAGACGGGGACCGTGGCATGGGTTTCCCCATGAACTCCTTTTCGCCTGCATGAGGCCTGAACATGACCTTTCTGAAGACTCTCTTTTAATTTCTCACTTTCCATCTTTATCCTGGAACTTGCGTTCCTGTCATGAGGTTGCTCCCATCATTGACTGTTGAGTACATACTGTGGTTGATTCTCAGTTTGGTCCCGGAGCCTGCTGTCTCCTCCCCCGTGTTCAGGGCTCACTCACATTGACCTACTTTTACTGAATTTGCTTCAGACCCTGGAAAGTGCATTTCTCGTCAGACCTGAACATAGTTCCTGGAGTTTTCCTGTGGCTGTAAATTTGCATTTCCTACCTAAATTTGCATTTGATTCTTGGAGAGAGATTATGTAAATCTCCAGTTTTATAATATTATTATTATGTTTTATAATTTGTGCTGCTTTCATGAGCACCAGCACTCATTTCTCACAATTCATTGCAGACATGAGATGCCAGCTGTCCAGCTTCTCTAGCACCAAGAAGGAATCCTTGTTGAAAATCAGCCCCTCACCAGAGAGATCGCTCTTCTTGAAATGTAAGACCCCCAGGGTGCATGGGTGGGCGGAGGATCACAGAAATGGAGTACCCCTAAGAGACTCAACCTAGTTTTTTAACTTTTATTACTGGTTTTTCTAAATACAGAAATAAAATATTTATTATAGAAAAATTAGAAAACGAAGGAAAGCAAAAATTTTAAAAAGACTATCACTCGTAAATCACTGTTGAGCTTTGGAAATTCTTCTGCTTATGTCTACCTAGTAGATATGTAGAAGTAGATAAATACTATTGTTTGCCCTTTTAGTTTTCTTTGGTATATTTCTATACATTTAATGTATTTTTTTTCAATCATGGTGTCATACTATACATACTGTTTTGTAATCTGTGTTTCATTTACTGATATATTGTGAACATTTTTGTTCCCTTAAAAAATTACACAGGTAGCCCTGGCTGGTGTGGCTCAGTTGGTTAGAGCGTTGTCCCATGCACCACAGGGTTGTGGGGTTTGATTGCCGGTCAGGGCACATACCTAGGTTGTGGGTTTGATCCTGGTTGGGGCTCTTGGGGAGGCAACCCACTGATATTTTTCTCAAACATCAATGTCTTTCTCTCTCTCTCTCTCTCTCTCTCTCAAATCAATGGGAAATATTCTCGGGTGAAGATTAAAACTTCAAAACATTACTGAGAAAACTATTTGGCAGTATCCACTAAAGCTGAATATCCACATACTCTATGATCTAGACTTTAAAAAGAATGTTATGTCTATGTATGTGGTATAATGCAAAGAGAACTATTATTGGGAGTTTAATCACTATCCCCTTTCTGGAGGACAATTTGGCAATATTTACCAAAGGCTTTGAAAACAGTCATCCCTGTTGACCCAGCAATTCCTCTGTTAGGAATATAGGGTATCCCCAAAAAATGTATACACACTTTTATAGCTGACAACTTACTTAGTTTTCACTCCTTTTCAGGTTTAACTGATTTTAAATAATGGGTGAAGCCAGAGCAAGCTTTGAACAAAGAAAATTTACCCCAAAGTGCCACTAGTCTTTTTTTTTTTTTTTTTAATGAGGATACATAAAAGATAGTTTACAGTATAAAACTGGCAACAGTTGATGAATTGAGGGCACACAAATACCAATGAAATGATTATTGATGTTTGCAATTCCATTGCTCTGAGTTATCAGCAGTCCCTGTACCAGAACGGTCATCAGTCTGACAACAGGCATTTACAAAAAAATTATTCACTTCTGTAGATTCTTTTAAATTTTGAAAATGAACTAAATGTTAATAAACAATGACTTTCAAGGTGTGTATACATTTTTTAGGACACCTTTTATATCCTAAAGAAATAATTAAATACATAAAGATGTAATCATTATTAGTGTTTTCAAAAGCCTCCCAAAAAGCCTAAATATTATAAAGGGGGGTAGGTTAATTATAATGCACCCATACATAAAAATCTTAGGTTCGCCATTAAAATGCTCTTTAAAAGAATATTGCCCAGTGGGGCATGGCTGAGCGGTTGAGCATCCACCTAGGATCCAGGAGATGGAGGTTCTATTCCTGGTCAGGGCACATGCCCGCCTTGTGGGCTGGATCCCCGGTAGGGGGCGTGCAGGAGGCAGCCGATCAATGACTCTCTCCCCCTCTCCCTTCCTCTCTCTGAAATCAAGATAAATTTAAAAAAATAAAAGAATATTATTTGGTGTGGTAAAACATGTTCATAAATACATCAATAAATTAAAACACAGATTATCCAAGAGCATGTGTGGTATGATACCAATGTTAAGGAAAGCGATAAAGCAGCAAGTAAAAATACTGGAAGGATATACTCCTAAGTGTTAATAGTGATGGGTGTTTTTTTTAGTTAAATTTTTAGAAATTGGCAACAAATTCCGCGGTTCAAAATGCAAATGGTACACCGGGTGTGCAGTAAAATTTGCTCTCCTTCCCATGCTCCCCCAGCCACCTCCCCAGAGGCAGTCAAGGTTGAAAGGGTGGCTTCCATTTCTCCACGGGCGATTTCTGAGTTTTCCCTTTTTTTGCTGTGCACACCCGCGGGTCCGGGCCC